CGAGGCACTCAAGGAAGCAATGGTCTGCCCTCTCCTGAAAAAGCCAACTCTGGACCCGGCTGAATTGGCCAGCTATCGGCTGGGGTACAACTTGCCCTATTTGGGCAAACTGATCGAGAGGGCAGTGGCAACTCAGCTACAGGGCTTTCTAGATGACGCTTCCATCCTTGATCCATTCCAGTCTGGCTTCCGCCCGGGGTATGGGACGGAGACAGCGCTGGTTGCCCTTACTGACAACCTCCGTAGACATCTGGATTGAGGCGGTGTGGCGGCGCTGTTGTTGCTAGATCTGTCGGCTGCATTTGATATGGTCGACCACCAGCTGCTGATCCCCTGCCTTGCCGATGTGGGGATTCAGGGGCTCACCCTTCAATGGCTTGCCTCTTTTCTCCAAGGTCGGGAACAGAGGGTTGGGCTAGGGGAGCAGCAGTCCCGGAGGCACCTGCTGGAATGTGGAGTGCCTCAGGGGGCAGTGCTCTCCCTGATGCTATTTAACATATATATGCACCCCCTCATCCAGATTGTCCGGAGGTATGGGCTTGGGTGTCATCAATATGCAGATGACACCCAGCTCTATCTGATGTTGGGCGGCCAGTCGGACTCTGATCCAGAAGATCTTCACCGGGCCCTACAGGCCATGGCTAGGTGGCTCAGGCTGAGATGGCTGAAGCTGAACCCGGCAAAGACAGAGGTCTTGTGCCTGGGTTGGGGCGGCATGGGATTGGGGGGATTGGGGCTCCCGCTCCCGGCCTTCGATGGGGCTCCTTTGGTGCCAGCTTCGGAGGTTAGGAGTTTGGGGGTGCTCCTGGACCCCACCTTAATGATGGAGGCCCAGGTGGTGGCCACTGCCATGGAAACCTTCTATCATCTATGGCTGGTGCGGCAGTTGGTCCCCTTCCTTAGCTGCGACGATCTGGCCACAGTGATCCATGCAATGGTTACCTCAAGGCTAGACTACTGCAACGCTCTCTACATGGGGCTGCCTTTGTCACAAGTTTGGAGGCTGCAGCTGGTGCAGAATGCGGTGGCCAGGTTGTTGGTGGGTGCTCCTAAATGGGAACACATCCAACCTGTGCTGAAAGTGCTGCACTGGCTGCCTATAGCGTACGATCCGTTTCAAAGTGCTGGTGCTTACCTTTAAAGCCCTATATGGCCAGGGTCCGGCATACCTGAGGGACCGCCTTTCCCCATACAGGCCCCAAAGAGCACTACGGTCGGGGTCACAACACCGTCTGGTGACCCCGGGCCCGAAAGAGCCCAGGCATGCTACCATGAGGGCCAGGTCCTTCTTGGTGGTGGCTCCTACCTGGTGGAATGAGCTCCCGGAGGAGATCAAGGCCCTGCGGGACCTTTTACAGTTCCGGAGGGCCTGCAAGACGGAGCTCTTCCGCCAGGCTTTTGAGTAGGAGCCGCCGCCACTACCACCACCATGTAATTGCAGAGCAGCATCGCTGGGATGGGCCGACTGGTCATCTGGAACATCACAGCCCATGGCGTCCACACCCTGCTTTGATCCCTTCCTGATATTCAATGGGGAATGTGTATTTATAGTTCTCATGTATCCTGTTTGATGTGCATTTAGTATTAACTTGTTTTAACCATTTTATTGTATCGCACTTTGTGCCTATGTAAGCTGCCCTGAGCCCGCGTGCGGGGAGGGCGGGGTATAAATGAAATAAAATAAATAAAATACAGGGTCAGCACAGGAGGAATAATGACTCAAACACAGCTTATACTCAAGCACAGTCTCCAAGACAGTGACATCTATTAATGCTTGGGAAAGCAAGGGCGTTTAATATTACATCTGTGCAAACCACGCAAGCCCAAAAGAATAATGGATTTAGGACACTCGCTCTTTACGGCACTATTTAGGGCACTCTCTGTAGACTGCAAGGCTTCGGAATGATCATTACACCTGAACACACTGGATCTGACTTGTGTGCTGCAAGACTCCTCCAACCTACACTTCATACTTCAATTGTCTCTTTATACTCCCCCTCCACTGTACTCTCCAACAGACTCATAGTTAATGAAGAAGGGGAATAGTAGTACATACAATCATAGAACTTTCTCAAAAGTCTTCAGGACTTGAGTATCATTATGAATATAGCAAATTTCCCATGCAGAAAGCAAATAATGTAGAAAATTGCATGCAAAACATGGGTAAATTATCATGAATAACAATCACACATTTTTTTCAATTGCATTGGAGGAATACTGCGCTTGTCTTGCAGTAGAGTCACAGACCAACATATGCATAATGCTCCAGATTGCTTAAGAATGGTTAAACAACTAGGAGCAGACCACAGGACTCTGCATTCCCTCCCTCATCTCCTCCCTTCTACAGTGCTAATTTCTCCTTCAGCCTTAATTGCAGGTAAGGCAATATAGTAGGACTAATATTAACTCAGCTAAAACTAATCAGAGTTCCTGTTTAACCAGGATTGGAAATCCTAGCTCCTTGGCTAGCCAGAACCACAGTTATCATCACTGCCAATGGAACACCTATGTTTAAGACCAGTGGAGAAAATTCATTCTCCAGGAGGGTAGAGGAGAGAGTGTGCAACCCCACAGCCACATCTGATTTGTTTAAGCAATCAGAGTGTTACCAGCTCTAACAGTCTTATTTACCATTTACATAAAAGAATTTTTTTTTAAATTGTATCTTTCATCAAAAGTAACCAACAAAAAGCCAGGAGACATTTCAGTTCCTCTGGGGTTAACTGTAACCATTAATGGCCCCTAAAGGGAAA